AGAGACAATGGACTCTGAAAAACAAACTGAGGGTTCTAGAGGGGATGGGGGTGGGAGGATGGGTTAGCCTGGTGATGGGTATTAAAGAGGCACGTTCTGCATGGAGCACTGGATGTTATGCACAAACAATGAATCATGGAACACTACATCAAAAACTAATGATGAAATGTATGGTGATTAACATAACAATAAAAAATTTAAAAAATAAAATAAAATCTTAAAAAAACACAAAAAACCATGTAACACAATATGATAAAAAATACTTTAAAAAACTTGAAATTGCTACCTTTCTCTCCTACCCCATCGTATGTATTCAGTAAAGGTCCACTGAAAAGATCTTTAACTTGGACTTGTAAGATTTGAGTTTGTTTCTGGTTCTACTTAGTTCTGGGTGACCTTGGATAAGTTAATGAAGCCAGAGCTTCCCAAACCTGACTGATGATCAGAATTCGAAGGAGAGTGTTATACGTGCACGCGCACACTCACACACACACACACGTTCACACGCCTGTTTTGGGTGTGATTATATATATGGGTTTTTCTTTTTCTTATCCAGCTGATCTTCACAATATACTTTTTATTTTCATCCCTAAAATACTTTCAGTATTTATGCCTGACATCATGGATACAAAGATGAATAAAACAAAGTTTTTGGTGAAGACACAGCCATAAACATAATAGCAGCTTAAGTTTTAAAAATTTAAGTCTGGCTGAATTTTAGTTTCTGCAGGCAATCAGAAGCCAAAAATGTCCGTATTATAAATATGATGTTTTGGCCCTGTCATATCAAGCTGGTAACCACCATGTACTACAGGGAACAGTGCATTTGAGAATCTCAAAAGTTTGACTTTGACTCTGCTATTTGACAATTTGTAGCAAGTCTTTAAGCCTTCTGGGCCTCTTTTTTTGAACCATGTGTGCCTCACAAAATTGTGAAAACAAAGTGAAGTACTATAAATGTTAAGGAACCATGAGTATTATAGACAGGAACATGTATTTTGAGTTGCTTTTCCATCAATAGTGACAAATTGCCTATAACCACTGCTTTCTTATCTGGCCAAGACACCCAAAGAGGCTTTTGTTGTTAACAGTTGTTAGTGTATGTGTAGTTAATGTACATTCATATAATATTTTTATAAATTGGTATATAATAAGTATGTATATAAAAATATGCACATTATATAGCCATGGATGTTTAAATGTGTTTATGCATATACCTTTCAAAATAGAAATACTGAAGACATGAATCTAGTGGGCAAAATTTCATCTACTGTAGGGTAGACATTGGATAAAACCTCACAGGCCTATATATTTTATTTTGTATTTCTGATTAAGCAACGATGGGAATGACAGAAGATTCACAGGAATGCTTATTGTTTCAGATAAACATGTAATTGCAGGTAAAATTCTTATTATTCTACAGGGACAAGAATAATGCTTTCATAGAAAATTCCAGTAAACATCCCCCCAAACATAGAATAGCTATAACAGCAGTGAACATAAGAACTGTAGTTACTAAAAATTTTTTACTCATACTATATTTAATATATAAGGTTTGATCATAATAAAAATTAAACTCACGAGAAGAAATCTAAGCTTATCTTTCTTTTTTTTTTGTAATCTAAGCCTATTTTAAAAACAGAATCCTTCATGTTCTTTGAGTCGCCCAGGCAGCTAATTTAGGAACGCTCATGAGTTCTACTGGATATTAGTGCTAATTATTAATGATATGTAGTTACAATTATACACTTTCATCCAAGTACCTCAAAGAGCTTTTAAAGCATTAATTTGTTATTTCTTATAATATCTCTGAGAGGCAGGCCAGTAGAGGGTTATTATCATTTCTATTTTACAAAGAAACTAGGGCATGGAGAGGTTCAGTGACTGTGCTAGGGTCATACGGTGAACGAAGAACAAAAAAGGGCCTCAAGATCATTGTTCTCATTTCCAGTTCAGTATGGTATCCATTAAAGGGTAGTTTAATACACCTACATGTATTTCTACTCTAGGAAAACTGAGAATAATATATTTGAATAATCTACAAACTAAAGGTGAGAGTTCCTTATTTTTAATGTTCAAAAATGCTGAATAAAAACTAATAATTACTCTTTGGTTTGCCACTGTAGCTCTTATTTACAGGGCTTTTGTTATTTGTAGCTTTCTGAAGTCTTTGCTCAAAATGATCCATTCTATTTCTGACTGCTTTCAGCTAGGTTAGCGGGGCTATCAACAACTAAGAAGCAGCTGAGACAGGCTGACTAATGAACCTGAGGTTGTCTGTCCTTGTGTTCTCATTGCTCACTCTTTTTGAAGTCATCCTCCTCATTTTCCATTCAACAGATATTTGTGCAGCCTACCATCCTCAATCCTTTGTGGCTGCTTTAAAGAAGTTGTTTATTGTCAATGATTAAACCTAAAATTTTTTAAAATTAACAATGGCATTTCATCTTCTGAGTTAATGCTTATAACCTAGTTAATCATTGTCATACTTGGTTTTTTGTAAGCCTGACCTTTCTGGTCCTTAACAGGTACATTAAACATTTGAGTATTAGCATGTCGTTGGGCATACGTATCACCACGTAGGGATTTTTAAAATGTAGTATTTCAGCAATTTTCCCAAGAAAAGGGAGGGAGAAGTGGTTCTGAAACTGTGCTCAATGAAGTGAGACTGCAGTGGGCTTGGATGTACAAGCCTGTGGTTTCCAACTTGAGCCCAGAATTTCCCCAGAGCTCTAGACCCATGTAGCAACTGCCATTAGACAGCACCACTGGTACTTCAAGCTGGCCAGGTCCAAAATGGCATTCGATTTCCACATCCCCTCCCCTATCCCACCCCAGCCATTTCTTTTTCATTTCGTAAACTACACCTTTACCCTCGCCCAAAAGCAAAACAAAGCATCATGTTGCTACTTCCATTTGCTTACCCAGAATCTGCCCCCAGCAATCAAATACAATCAGTTGACTTGGCATCCTGATATTTTAGGAATCCATCTTCTTTGAGTCCTCACTGACACTCTCCTAATGGTCCTTATCCTGTCTCTTGATTTCACGGCCCCTTGTCTACAAGCCCTCTTACCCTTCTCCTCCCCTCAACTCATGTCCTCTACTAACAGCCTAAACTGTAAAACTGTCCGGGGTCATTCCTCTACCCATTGCTTCAACAAGGAGTGAAAGTTCACAATTTGGTTCCTATCTGCTTCTCCAGATTCATCTTTTTCAGCAACTCAGGCTTGAACTTTTAAGTCCTGTAATTACCACCCAGACTTCTAAACACGTATTATTTGTCCCTGTGCTGCATGTCCTTTTTATTAGAATCTGGATTTACCATCCCACCCCTTGTTTTTGCTAGAAAATCCCTTATCTTGAAAATCTAACGCAGTTACGAGTCATCCATTCTTTCCTCTGAATACAATATTCCATACTTCCAGTCATAATTATCTGCTTTCATGTCTTCCCATTAGACTGGGTATTCCTTGAACGAGTTGTGCAAAGCAGGGAGTTGGTACTCAACGGTGGGAGGAGATAGGGGATAAATATATGTCAATAGATAAGACTTTAAGTGCTAACGAATGTTAGGCAAAAGATCTATTTCGAATCTGTGGAAGGATTCAAATAAAGCAACCGATTTAGTGGAACTACTTTTAACTTAAGCTACCAAATCACAAGATGGGGGCGCCGTTTGATCTCAGCGCCCCACCAGACACCAGACCTGTGGTGTCCGGGGGGCTCGAGCCCCCTGAGTAAAGGACCACAGACCATCCTCCGGCCGAGCTCTCCAGGGATCAGCAGTTTGACATGAGGCCCAGGGCAGCTACCGAAACCTTCCAGCCAGTGCAGGCAACTGACCAAACCATCTCCAAGGATTCGGCCCTCAACGAGCCACGTCGCCAGCTCCACTCTGGACAACCCCGGCCGCGGGACAGAGCGGCCTCCACCCTTGGACAACCAGGGAGAAGCGGCTGCCCTCCGGAAGCAAGATGGCGGCCTCTGCTTTCTCCTCCTTCCCCGAGAACCCCCTCCTGGTCCCCAGAAGAGAGACAAGGACGTCGCGGCGCCGACGCCGAGATCCGGGAACCTCCGCGAGGCCTGCGGCAGCCCCCGAACCCCCAGAAAGCGACTCCACCTCTCCGCGCGCGGGGAGCCGGGGGTGGGGCAGTCCAAAGTGCAGCGCAGCCAGCTCTCGGCACGCAGCGGGTGGACGCCGGCAAGCCCCCGCCCTCCTGGCCATTGTTCTCCAGCCCCTGCCCTCAACACCCTCCTCTCCGCCCACGGCCAGGAAGTCGCTCCCCAGCCGGCCCCGCCCCGCTCCCCCAGCGCCCCGGAAGTGATCTGCGGCGGCTGCTGCAGAGCGGCCAGGAGGAGGGTGGATCTCCGGAGAGCGGAGCGCCCCGAGTCCTCCTCCTCCTCCTGCCGCCCAGGCTCCGCCGCCGCCCGTCGGACTCGTCCTTCTGCCGCTCGCGGCGGGGAGCCTCCCAGACGACAAGGGCCAAGCTCTCTCCGGCCGAAGCCAGCTCAGCCGCGGCTTCCGGAGCCCGCGGGGCGGCGGACCGGCTTGCGGTGCAGGTGAGCGATGCCTGCCCGGGCCGCCCCGGGAGGGGTTGGGGCCGCCGGGGCGGCGGCGGCGGCGGCGGCGGGGGTGTGTCCGGGCGGCGGCGGGCCGAGGCCCAGGCTCAGGGCCCGGACGCCGAGATTGCACATCCCGCGTTCTACCCGAAAACGAGCTGCGGGAGGAGCCCGGGCTGGAACCCGGGGCGCGGTGTTCGGTGCTGTGCGGGCGAGCGCACCCCCGAGAGCCGGCGGCTGCGGCGCGGTCCTCCGAGCCCAGCACCTCCTTGAGTTGGCCTCCTCGGAAGGTCACCCTGTATCTCTGGCCCGCCGCGCCGAGGTCCCCGCCTGGGCGGTGCCCGCGACCTGGGGGGACCCGTCGCCACCGCCGCAGTCCCCGCGCTTCACTCCGCCCCTCTCCCCTCCTTCCCTTTCTTTCACTCCTCGCCTGTACTAGAGCAGTTGCTTTTTAAGTATCTTCGCCAGGGTTTTGTGCCAGTTAAAGGAATGGCTTTTTCAGACTGAAGTCATTAGATGCTCTGCATTGAACTGCACAAGGTTTACCCATATTAGAGTAATCTAGCCTCTAAAGCGAGGAAGAGAATATAGATATTTTTTGAGTAGGGGGTAATTCCTGTGATTTGTTCCTTATGGTTTTCCGGAGTGGAAGGAAGATGTGATTTGTATGCTTTAGCCTGGGTGTATGTGTGTAAGTGGGCAGGGAGGACCACACAGAGAGGTGGCAGTGTTGTTTCAAGGTTTAAGGAGAATTAGGGAGTTAACTGGCCTTTGCTTGGGAAACCTGAATGTCCAGACTTGTGAGAGCTTATCCAAGTGTCTTTGGGGTTGTGTGAGAACTCCAGTGCCACGCCCTACGTGTCACGCTGAAAAGGACCCAATTTACAAATTGTGTTTGGTGTGTGTTGGGGCAGGGGGAGTGGGGAGGCCTTTATAAAACATGTGGCATAAGTTAATTTTTGTCCAGAAAGTTTTACAACTTTAATCATGTTCCCAAACTCAGATAACAAAATTTTAGTAAACTCTCAGTAGAAGGCCTTTTCTTTAGCTTGTTTATTAATATATTTAAATGTATCTTACTAGTTTGTGTTTCTGTGCCAATTAATACAATATTATTATAAAATGACTCTTATGACTCTTCAGACATTATTTTCAGACTTTGAATTTTTTCAGCGCAGGAACCATGTCTTATGCATTCCTGTGTTCACAAGTGATGACTGGAACATAGAAGTTATTCCCATATTTCTTCACTGAATGAATGAATGTGTAGGTGATCCCACAGTTGCCTCAGGAGTCATTTATTTTGTTGGCTTTTTGTTTTGTGTTCCAGTTTCTTGGCACATACAGACTTTGCATTGTCTTAATGTTTTTTTAGAGTGGTGAAAGGACAATCCAAGAAGAACTTCCAAAACTATCCTCCCCTGAAAGGTTGAAATTATATTTGGGGTATTGTGATTGGACATTATAATAACTTGTATTCCAGTCTTCAGTACTTACTACTTAAACATGTTTATCCAAGGTTATTAAGAAGAGATTTCCTAGTGATAGGAAGTTTATGTTTGGGGTTGATAACCATACCATATCTTAATAAAAAAGAGGAAATTGGGAGTCACCGCTGTTTGGAAAACCTGATACATCACAGAATTGCTTATAGTGGCTTATTTCTCCCATGGGTACATGAAATCCTCTGACATCCTGATATGACCTTAGCATGATTTACCAGTAGCCACTTTCACATTTCTTTGCAGAGATCCAGGTGTTCTTTAGTGTGTCTGCTGAATGTGCAGTCATCTGTATCACTTATTTAAAAGTAGTTTCCTACAGCCCTTTCTTTGCAGGGCTTTCAGGGGAAAAAAGGGCTAATTATAGGGAATAATCTTGTGTACCATTTGTGTGGGGGAATAATTTTTGTCTGTAGATGGTTGGGTTATTTTCACTTTAGAGAGGTCCAAAAAAAAAAAAGGTGCTGGTATCTTCTTTCCTCTCCAAATGTCTAGTGGTGGTCCTGCACTGGTTTTCCAAGCTCAGCTTCTGCAGGATATAAATGAATGTACCAGAATCACTTCTTGTATATGTGTGTATCACTGTTATACACACTTGTAACCCTTATAGATGGGTGACAAGCACAGTCATTTTTGAAATAGTATGTATTTTTAATGAGGAAAAAGATTATGATTTGGAAGTAGGGAGATGGTTTGTGGTTTTTATATTGTTTTATAAAATGTTTTAACTCTTAGACACTAAGGAGAAAGAAGCCTGCAGTTTCTTATCCCAGCAAAATCACCACTGTACAGAGGTCAGATCTCTCTTTAATTCAGCAACCCTCTTGGTAATAACAGTCTGTATACATTGATTGCCTGCCAAGCACTGTGATAAGAGCTTTAGTTATATTATTTTTAATTTCCACAGTACCTCGTAGTTTTTCCATACTTTACTAAGGTTAAGTGAAGCTATTGGCTGGAGGGTAATAGCTAGTATTCAGGAGAGTCTGGATTTGAAAGTAACGATTTCTAGGAGCATTGCATATTGCAGTTAATCCTAAAAGGCTGAGGAAAAACAAGTTTCTGATTGAGCTGAACTTCAGGAAATGAATCTAATGATCTCAGCACTCTTGGCCATCAGGTGGGCCCTGGGGTTACCACTGTTTATCTCCAGCGTGCCTACAAATGCGGTGTTCCCATCCACTGTGTGTGCCATGATGAAGTGGTTGGTATTGTCCTGAGGGGTCCTGAAGGAGGAGAGTGTTAGGAACTCAACAGTGGTGTTGATTACTGCTTTTTACCTCTGAAGTACCTGAATAATCTCTACTGGAGGGGACAATGGAAAACCTATTTTGTAGTGACCTTTCCTGAAATCTTGTTTTTTAGTTCTTTCACTAAAGGAGGTAATGGGGGGAATGTTGGGGGTGGGGGGAAGAGGCAGAATTGGGAAGAATGTAAAAGAAGCAGAGGTATCCTGGGTCTGTTTTTACCGTTTCAGACCATGTATCATTTTCACTTTGGGTTTAATATAGAGGCTTAAAGGTGGCAGAGTTCTTGTAAGGGTCTAATTGCTATTCAGTGCTGGTCGAACTCTCTTTATTCTTCTCAAGGCTATGTGGTTTTTTTTTTTTTTAAAAAAATGCACTTTTAATGGGCTTAATTTGAAGGATGTGTTCATCTCTTGGTTAAAAAAAAAAAAAGAAGTATGTAGCTCTAAGTAAAAAATGGTTCATTCCCCAGCCCCCATTAGGAACAGTTATTCTTTGTTTTTCTAAGACACCTTTCTTACTACCTTATTACACTCAAAAGGATTTGGTTACAATATAGAAAAAATGAAATTAAAGCTCTATGAGTTTTAAGAGTCATGTGAGTAAATTTTAGAAGAGAATTTGAATCTTTGATGTAATTATACCTGAAGGTATAATTCCTCAACATCAAGAGGGTTGTCTGTACAAGCCAAAAACAGTAAGCTTACATAAAATATTAGGATACTATTCTTCCAGCCCTTCACAGTTAGAATTCTCTATTAGATGCAATACACCTAACGCTTGACACACATAATCTTTTTGAAGTCTGGGATCCAATTGGGTTGCTGAATTCACTTATTGAAACTAAGTATCAGAGTTTGACAATGTCTGTCATGTTGGAGAATGAAACATAGCGAGATTATGAAATGACTTCTACTCCCAGATGCATCATGAAGGGCGGGCAGAGATCCCCAGTTTCCACAAAGATCGCGATCGTAGTCATCTAAGACACAGGATCCCTGCTTTCTAATGCAGTTGAGTAGCTAGCATAGTAACTCATTGAAAATGGAGGTTGCCCACTACAGATTGCAAATGCTTTAGTTCATCTGCCCCTCTAGATCTGTTCTGGATTACTGCAGCAGCCTGTTAGCCTTTTGTTGCCCACCCCACCCGGATCTGTTCTCCACACTTGGTTAGAGCAGTCGTGACACTCCCTGCCTAAAGCCACTTTGCAGCTCCTCCTTGCCCATTAATAAAATCCAAACTCCTTTAATCCTTAATCTCATATACAAAACTTTCAAGACCTGCTCCTTCCGTAACTCTCTAGCCTCATCTCTTCTCTTCCAGGATATTCTGTTTCAGCAGTAACAAGCTTCTAGAATGCTAGCGTTTTCTTAGTGCCCCATTTCCTCTTGTACTTGTAGTCCTTCCTCCTTACCCCAATCTACTATATGCCTGCTTGTCTTTCAGCACTCAGTGTAGGTTATACCTCTCCAAAACTGTATCTTGATTAGATTCTTTCTCTTGATCTCATCCCTCAAAAACAAGAAGCCAAAAAACCAACAAATAAAAACTTTAACAACTTTCAAGACTGGGCTAGTTGCTCTTTTTATGGGCTGCCATAAAATCCAACATAGCACTTTTACCACTATGGGCAGTGCCTTCATTAGTCTATTATAAACTTTCTTGACCACAATCCATAGTAACTACACACATAACTCATAAATACACTCTTAAAAGCCTTCACAGACCTTTACCAGAAGTTCCCAAACTTTCTTAGTTCATGACATCCTTATCATATCCATAACTTTTTCACAGCATCCCTAGATCAAAAGAAACACCTAACGGTTTAATTTATTAAATAAGCCCAACCAACTTACTAAATATTTAAGTCCTAAAAATTTAGTAGCTGTTCGGAAAAAAAATACACATGAATTAAATAATTTTCTTTCTTAACTGCATAGTACTCCATGGTTTATTCAACCAGTCTCCTGTACTTGGACACTTAAGTAATTTCCAGTATTTTTCAATTACAAATGACATTATAATGAAAATCTTTACGTACGTTTGTCTTTGTATCATTGGAAGTAAATATTCAGGATAAATGCATATATAAGATTTGTTAGATATTGCCAAATTCCTCTCCTTAATGGAGTTGTACTATTTTGAATACCTACCAGCAGTGTGTAAGAGTGCCATGGCCTCACCAATGGAGTATATTGCCAAGTTTTTGAATTTCTGCCAATCTAATAGGTGAGAAATGGTATCTCAG